TAATAATTAGTTAAATAAACTAACTAGAGTTTTACAATATATATATATTATTTTTTAATGTATATAAATAATATCATATAGGACTTTTTTTAATCAGAAGTCTAGTGTAGTCTGTAATAGCCAATTACAGTATAGTTACGTGGTAGACAAACGGACATTTGTCAAATCAAAGGTCTAGCACTGTAGTGTGGACCTTAACAACCAATCATCACCAAGTCATGTGTCAGACATTGTTCAAATCAAAGGTCTAGTGTGGACTGTAACAGCCAATCACCAGCAAGTCATATACCAGACAGACAGATATTTTTCAAATTAAAGGTCTAGTGTGGAACGTAGTAGCCAATTACTAACAAGTCACATGCCGGATAGACAAACATTTTTCAAATCTAAGATCTAGTGTGGACCATAGCAGCCAATCACCAACAAGTCACATGCTGGACAGACGGACATTTTTCAACTTTTATATATACATGTAAGTCCTCGCTATGCTTCGGACAATAAATGATTTTATATTTAATAGTAATTATTTGACAAATATAGTAAAATCAATTTTTATATGTTTACTATTTTGATTTGTTTAAGTTGTATAAAATTTATCTAAATTATACAATATAAATAATATATGATCATCACCTAATTTCAATTAAATATTATTATAAAAAAATTTAATAACAAAATTACTATTAAAATATAAATCTTTTATCCTACTTTTAAATTAGATAAGCAAAAATTGCAGCTGTATTTTTACAAATAAAAATATATTATTTATATAAAATATAATTACAACTAATAAAGTTCACTTGCTATTATATTTAACAATATAAAGAAAACTTTAATTAAAAAATCAAATTTTGTATTCTAATAAAAAAAGAATTTTATTATTTAGTGTATATGCACTTATAAGATTTGGTGTAATGTAAAATCAAAACAAACTAGCAATATATTAATTTAGAGTAAGAGTTAGCACTTTGGGCTTCCTCTTTTTCCTTCTATAACTAATGGTAGTTAGACTTAAATTAGTTTATAAACAGAAAATTAAAAGGTGATTTGCTATATTTAGGTAGTTATATAAGATACAATAGATAGTTAGAATTTATTATCATCTTGATACAAATCTATAACTTATCTTATCATATATACAGCAAATTCATAATAAAAAAAAAAAAGAGTAAGTGTTAGCATTAATATAAGGTTAGATTAGATTATAGATAAATGTTAATTATACTCAAAATTTTGCAAGGAATTTTTTTTATTAGAACACAAAAGGTAATTTTATAAGCAAAATTATAAGTTATAAGTAATTTTTTTAAATATTGCTATTTTTTACATTATACTTGATCTTATGATCTGATTGGTCAATTAGGTGGGTGTGTTACAATGCCCATGCGCTAAATTATAAAACACTAAAAAATTTTTTGCAAAATTTTAAGCTAAACTATATTCTTTATTACCTTAACTTCAGCTTTAAAATCTAATTAAAAATTTTATTTTTTTATAAAAACTAGATTGTTTTGATTTATTGTCTAGAGCATGGCAGAGGACTCTTAATTTCTATGCAAAGTGATACTAAATTCTGTTTTTGATACAATAGTGATCAGAATATCAAAAACGTAACTTTGCAATTTCTGTCTGTCACCATTGTGTATTTGTGTAATATAACAAATATCATGTAATTAGACTAACATAAAATTATTTTATGCTCTGAACTTATATCAGTTTCCGATTCCTAGTATATTATACTAATTTTATATTTACATATAGGGTAGCACTCTAATAGAACTCCAAATAATATATATAAAGATTATATTAAAATTTTGGCTAAAAAGATTACTTTTTTACTATTTGAAAAACGGATATTAGTTAAAAGGTTATATTTAAAAGTGGATAAAAGCTTTTAATATTATTATTAAAAGTGGATAAAAGCTTTTAATATTATATTATTAAAAGTGGATAAAATTAGTAAGTATTAAATAGGTTATATTTAAAATTTATATAACCCAATAAAAAAAAAAAAAGAAAAAAAATTTGGTATATTTGACAATTGGCAAAATTTATTAAATATTAAAGCTTATATATAAAATATAGTTAATTAGCTCTAATAAAAAGTGGATAAAAATTTTAAAACGTTTATATTAAAGCTAATATAACCTCTATATATATTGTTCGGGGTCCTACTATGATGCTATAGCATTACAATAATATTTTTTTAAAATAAACTTTCACCATCAACATGAAAATTTTTCATATTTTTTATTTTCATTATTAACATAATCATTAGATGTAATTATTTTTGAAAAATTGAATACTAAAGAAATCAGAACAAATTTGCTTATTTTTATTTAATTTTAACTAATAATAGATACAATTTTTGAAGTTACATTATTGATTTCTCCAATACTAATAGCGAAATTAATTTTAGATAGTTTTGAATTTCCAGTACTAAGAGCAAAACTAATTTTGATTGAATATAAACATCAATGTCTTTTTTTGGCAAAGAATTTAAGCGAAAGCATTATTATCAGATTTATTTAGTAAACATAGAATTCTAATTTTATCATATAATGTAAATTGAAATTAGTTTCGCTCATAATATTACTTTTAAAGGCTTTGTAAAGATATTCTTTACATTATATACTGCGGCACATATGTGCACATATGATTTATGAAAAACATGACACATATGCACATCGTCCGTCTGTAAAATAAATTAAGCGAGCGCAGAATACTTGAAATTGTGTATATTTTGCAAGTTACATGTATTTATGTTCTAATTATTTAATTCGATACACGAAATATTCATATTTTATACTAAAAAATCATTTAATTCAAGCGAAATTTATTTCGCACGTAATTATTATTATACATCATCTGACGCATCTCGGATTCGAATTTTAAATCTACCCTTCGAATTAACGTTAATGAATATAATAAATCTAATGCACGACGTATACAGTATAGTGATCGGAACTATAATCATGCCGGCTAACTTGTTGGGGCTATGAACATCGGGATTTTACAAAATTTAAGAACAAGAACTTTCTTTTCAATGATAAAGGTTCCGCATTATTTCTCCGACAATCAGATCATTTATCCGACATCATACCAAGCGACAATTTACTAACATAGTATATCTACAACTAATATTGTTACGTTGTGTGATGTCAGTAAAGTGAGCCGCACCGCAATGATAGTCATAAAGAGTGACCAATAAAGTCATTCTCCTGAGATTGGCGCATTTATAACAAAATTTCGGGTCTCCACTGCAGCACTGATGTTCCTTAATGCCGGTGATTTTTGCCGCTTTTGGTAATCTTTTTTTAATACGTAATTCATACTTTTCAAAGTAATGACCAATGCGGAATACACACATCCAAAAATAGAGCTAGTAACGATGGTACGAAACCACTTGATCACTTTATATAAACCAAACAGCTTAAACGTAGGACATTTTTTAGATCCGAGTTCACAATGAGCCAACAATCACAGCAAGGAGGAGTTCCTCAATACCATATTGGAAGGTGTAAAGAAATTCCTTGTAGCTGTCAAAACTTTCACCAAGATATAAATAATCAAAACATATGTGTAAACTGTAAACATGATATTGGTATACATATAGACTTTGAACAATGTAAATATACTCTTCTCTTTGATTATGCTTTTTTTTTAACTTTAAAATTCACATAAACGATGATTAAAAATCTTCGATATTTGAATTGAGAATTAATTTATCGGCCTAATGCATATATTTTTTTAGTACCAGATCGCAATTATCAGAATAATTATTTTGAAAACCAGCGTTCAACAATTGAAATTCATCCAGATAATCAAAACTATATGAATCAGATGCATCAACCAGGTATTAAACTGTTCTAATAACTGGAAATTCATTACTTTTTTATGAATAACTTCAATAAATTTACAATAACTCTAGTGCGAGAACAACCACCCCCAAATACGATATGGTTCTATAATCGCAACGAAGATTATTACGAGTTTACGAATTTTAAAGAGGGATTTCAAATTAGCGCATCCCTTGGGGAAATTAGCGAGTTGCACAAGGAACTTTATGAAGTAAAAATATGGCCTACAAGCGAACATCTTTTCCAAGCTGCAAAATTTAAGGAACATCATCCGGAAATCGTCGACCAAATTAGAAGGTGTCGTTCTCCTAGGGATGCATTAAACCTAGCTAGAATGAACCAGAGTTTGGTGGATCCAAATTGGCAGGATAACAACGTAAAAGTCATGAAATGGGTGGTAAAAAAAAAATTTACGCAACATCGCATATTAGCTGAAAGGCTGTTGTCGACAGGTGACAAGAAGCTTGTGGAGCATACAACTATTGA